TAAAGTTATAAAATAAATGTATGTTTTTAACACCCCTTAATTCTTTTAATTTTTCGCGTTTTGCGAGATCTTCAATGGCGCTTGGTACTTCTGTACAACCCCTACGATATGCGTATCCATTTAATATGATCTTGTATATCGAAAATATTAGAAGAGAATTTATTCGTATCTTTTCTAAAAAAGATAATATGCACGAATGTAAAATGATTGAAAATTAAATTGATGATTTAATAAAAGTTTAAATATTAAACTAACTGATTTGAATTTTGTGCGGTAAAGTGATTAATTTACAATGTTGATCAAATTCTGTTTAAAAATACATCTAATGATCTTCCAAGTTTATATTAAAAACATAGCAAAAATGATTCTAACTATAAAAAAAATAGTTAAAATTATCTATAAAAATATTCTTTGATCTAAATTAGCTATTCATAATTAATAATCTATTTTACGAACTTGTTGTTATAGTTTGAACAAGATGCACGCAATGGAAGGTTCCGGTGGAAACGGGAAGAGGGTGGATGCTGCTGAAAAGACGAGAGAGGAGGATTCCTCGAGAACTTCGCCGAAAGTTCCACAAAATCAACAAAATGGTGCAGCACTTCCGGAAGAAGCTGCAGCCACCGCAGATCGTTTACGATCCTCGTTGATAAAGAAGGAGCCTTTAGGCGACTCGGAATTGGTTGAAACAAATACGAAAAAAGCTTTACCCTCATCGGATGGTTCTCAACAAAAGGAACGTACACCAACGCGTTCTCTTAAATCTGATTTAGTGGAAAACTTAGGAAAAAAGCGTAGATCATTGGAAAGACAGTTGCCATCTAATGGAAATGCCACAACTAAAAAGTTTTGTCTAGAAAGACGAGCACAATATACCTCCTTGGAGGTTGATTGTGAAAAACTTAGCCCCGATGAACTCGCCGCGAAAGCTAAAGAGTTACTCGACGAAGTTAAGGTATTTATTTATTTTTTTATCATGGAAAAATTATGAAAATAAAGAAAGAGATATATGATTGTATAATTGTCTAAAATGATACGCTCATTGTTTAATTTTTAGACCCTTGATAAGCTAGCCCATAGCAAAGAATTGGAATGGAATGAGATATTAGAAATGAGAAAGATGAAAGAATTAGATTACCTGAGAATTGAAAGGAAGAGACAGGTTTTAGTATTTATGGAAGGAAACCGACCATTGGGAGAATCATTACCGCCTGCGAATCTATCTTTGGGACAAGAATGGGAGAGCAGTGATAGCACGACGCCCGTGTCTAAAGAAAAGTGTTCTTTCGAATCGAAAGAAGATGTTATGCCCGAAGAAAGCTCACAAGATTTACCGACATTTAAGAAAGAAAAGAGTTCAAAAGCATCGTCCCATAGACAAGTGACGCCACCTAAACAAACTGGTGAAAATGGTCGAAAACAAATGGAAGCAATGAGTCCTGAAAATAGACAAATTGGAGAAGGTCGTCAAGGCACGATCATTGATGTTAGATCCATCATCGCTGATCACAAGCTAAGACATCCAGAATATGTTCCACGAAGGTAATTATTTTATATTTGCATAAATTCAACGAAAACAAATGTTCTCATCGTTGATTAATAGTACCGTCTGATGTAAGTTGATTAATAGTACCGTCATATCTATAATCTATACATATGCAAGTATATCGTTGTATCAATACATAACACTTCACTATCAGGGGTCGGAGAATGAGGAATTCGGTGAATGTCGGTTTAAGCGCGGGTGGAGCTATGGTCGAAACTGGGCACAATGTAGACTCGCGACCATCTAGTACAGATTCCTGTAAAAGCAATTCGAATACCAATGATCCTAATAATTCCATGAACTACAGAGACGTACTCTTTCAATTTGCAAAGATGAGCCAGCAACAAGGTAAATAAAGATTCATAAACAGTATACACATGCATATATTTAATATCACATTAGTGTCATTATTGTCAAGAAAATGTGGATCACGCGAAAGAAAATGTTCGAATAAATTAAAATTGTTTAGGGGAACCGGTGAAAACACCTCAAAATTATCCAGATGTAACTTTGCATCCTGTAGCGCCATCAGCGACTTCACAAACTATGCAAACTCAGTCAACTGGTTCATTGCTTCATGGAATTCTGACTAAATCGCAATCTCCTAGACCAACCACATTTTCGCCCACTTTAGCCAGATTACTCACAGCTCCTGAAAGGGAAAGGAACATTCCTACTGTTTCTTTGCCACAGCAAAGTACTGGAACCCACCTTTTGCAGCCGTATCAAGGCTCTACTCCGGTTTCTATCAGCGATCTCCTGTCTTCTTCCAAGGTTTGTAATATCCTTGAGTGTTTTGTATCGTCATAAAATTAAAAAAAAAAAGAAAAAAAACAAACGACAATGAATAAATAATCTATGAATACAAATTACAGGCAAGGACAGAAATAACTATTACGCCAGTCGTAAATACAGCAATGCAATCTCATTCTAATAATTTAATTCACGTGGTAAGAAAAAGGATTTTATCTCTATGTTAATTATGTTTTCTATCGATTTAACAATATCAATCTATTAATATGAAATCGTTTTAACAGGAGGATGTAGAGGAAGAGGCTGCTGTCATAGAGGACAGAGAAACCCGAATTTCTTCGGGTGGAAGGGATAATAGAGACGATAATGCACCACGTTGTCAAGGTTGTCATGAATGTGCTGCACAGTTCGTATGCGCCGGCTGTGGTAATCAGTGGTATTGCAGCCGTGAATGTCAAGTATGAAAATATACATTTTATCTTTGTTTTTTACTTCCAAACAAATTTTGCAAATTATAATACATTTGCATATTTTTTATATCAAGATACATTTCATTTATTTGCAATATTCTTTATAGGTTGCGGCATGGGATGAGCACTCTGAGTTGTGTACCGGTTAAAATAGACGAGTTTAAATACCTTACTGGAATAATCAACTACTACTTGAGTACATACAAGTAAAACAAAAACCTACATAATTAAAAACGAATCTAGTCAAGAAACGAGGAATGAAAAAGAGAGAGAGAGAGAGAGAGAGAAAGAGAGAAAACTTGATTCTTAAACGAGCAAGATTATGGAAGAAATGTTATAAAAATAATGTATATTTTTAAGAGTGTCTCTAAATATGTTTAATCTGTAAAAATACAAGTATAATTTTAATTTTCAAGATCGAACGAACGATTGCCAAATTTCATGTGTCATGCTATAAATTTATGATGGATTGTAGCATAAAGAAAAGTCGTAAACGTATTTAGAAATAACAAAGATCGAAATGTAAGGGTCGTTGCTTTACTATAAACTTTGCATTGCCTTTGATTTAATATTGGAATTATCAAAATTCGATTTTTCATAAGCAAACATATGAAGCAAAAAAACCAAGAACAATGCTACTGCTCGATCGAAACTTCAAGCATTTAAAACGATATGTCATTAAAGAAGATAATCGCATTCAAGGGAACGATTTAACATATAACGTTACTTATTACGTTAACATTCACTTCAAATATTACTTTTTATGAAACAGATTTCATCAATAACCGCAAAACTATAATTAATTGATATCCTGACAAATAAATTTATTAATTCGGTCCATTAAAAAACTAGTAGTTTCCTAATTTATACCAATTTACTGTTTACGCTAATCCAGACAGAATTTTCAAAAATAGTGTCAAGAAATTCTAATGAAAAACATACGCAGAAGAATTATACATATTTGTTTATAAACAGATCTAAAAAATAAAGCAAACGGGAGGAGGAGAGAGAGAAAGAGAAAAAGACCGAAAGCGAGCGAGCGAGCACAAAAAAGAAAAAGTGTAGCTTACGATATAATATTGTATATAATTTTATACAAGTTACCAAGTGATCGTTCAAACTCGAATTTTAAAAGATCAATTAAAATAAACGTGTGCCATGTGTCAAATTCTTTTAACCTGGGCGGCTTTACATGTTGGTACGATTCAATGTATGGACTTCTAATCGAAAATGTTTTTATAATTTTATTGCGTTCCTTATTTTAATATGGATATAATAATATCCATGTTATTATTATTAATATTAATATTATTATTGTTATTATTATTATTATTATTATTATTATTATTATTATTATTATTATTATTGTTATTATTATTATTATTATTATTATTATTATTATTATTATTATTATTATTTTCTTTTTTTTTCTTTCTTAAGTAGATATTGAAAAAAAATTACATTTTCGCATCTAATATATTTAAAAAAAAAATAAGGAATTTGTTCTTGACCGTATCCTTTAATTCCTTCGAAAGTGTACAGGTATGCGCGTATCACCAACACCATATTTTATACCACATTTGTTACCATATAACACAAATTTAGATTTAATAGATCTTTAGCTTTAGCGCTTAGATTTAAGACTTTTGTAATTAAGTTGGAAACATATTGAAATATCTTGCGTTGTCTTTTTTCTTTTCTTTTTGTTCTTTCTTTTTTTTTTAACTAGCATGTTACCCGACGATGATGGTCCCAGACAATGTATAGCCCAAAGTTCCTACAGGTACACAACATTATACATATATTTTTCCCAATTACAAAGCAAACCAAAATAAAGTTTTTAATCGTAAAAAATTTACTTATCATATGTGTATGTATCTTACCCTATCTTCTCATCATAAGTAGACATTTTATACATATAAAATAATATATATATATATACGATATATATATATATATCGTTACATAAATAAAACTGAATAATAAATTAATCATTGTCGTCTATTTCTCGTTGAATTTCATCACAGTAGTTAAAAATACTATTCGCGTTTGTGTTTAAAATATTTCATAAAATTGGCGCGAAATTGAAATCATACGATTAATTCGTTTATCGAAGAACTTCAAGTCTTGTCCTACAGAGGGTAGTTAAATCGATGCAAGGAAAATATTTCTATAATTGGCATTTTAAAAATCGTTCCATGCAGTGATCCCATTCGTACGATAATTTGAAGCCTTGTACGATCCAAAATTCAGCATGTACGATCCAATTAGGAATTTCAAAAACTTGATGACCTTTTTTTTTTTTAGTCATCAAATTCTGCAAACGGGTACGATTTTTCGATTGTGATTTGAAATCTTGAGAACCACCACCGTACGATCTGTGTACGATTTGTGTACGATCGAGGCTTTCTCCCTGCCGTACGTCGTTTTTACCGTTTTTACGATAGGGTTTTGAACTTGAAGACTAAAAAAGGTCATCAATTTTTTTTTTATGATTTGGTGGTCTCCCGGTGGACTTATCGAACCGCCGATTAGACTCACGTAATTATCAACGTTTGCTACCTAAAAATAAAAAAAAAATAAACTTTTTGAACAAGTTGGAACTTGCACTCTTTTTCCAGATTTTGAAAATTTCATCCGACAAATCAATCCGACGATAATTTTCCCGTGTGTACGATAATTTTTCGCCCCTGTGTCGATCAGACGAACTAAAGTCTCTGGGATCACTGGTTCCATGAAACAGTTGTACTGTTTTCATCCGCGTAAATAAAAGTTTAATGATAAAAATTATTATATTTTTATCAAAGATATATATTTTGCCGATATAATGTTAATTCATTTAATCTTTTTCTTTGGAACGGTGTTTTCATCTGTATTTATAAATGCTTTAAGTAAATTTTTATTTACATATTTATTGTTTGTTTATAAATAATAATAAACATATAATTTCAGGTACAAAAGAATTAGTAATTATAATCTTAAGTCAAGATGAGGGTGATCATTACCTTATGGCTAATGTTTTACAACAAAATATAGAGGACCAAGCCGCCAATATAAGTTCCGTAAGTATTTTTCATTTTTATAAATTACATGAGATATATAAAATAATAAATAATATATATTTTTTATTAGGAAGCACCACGTATCGATCAAACTAATCGGATAAATATGAAAGGATCATGGACAATCATACCGATATTACATTATTTAGATTTCACTTATCCAAACACAAAGTGGTTTTTCTTCTGTATAGAAGATATAGTTATTGATTTAAGTAAATTGCTAACTGTATTGTCTTCCTTTAATTCTAGCCAGGTGATGTAATATTTTCTTAAGTATTAAAATTATTAACTTATTTAATATTTATTTAATGCATTGAATACTATGTCCATTTTTACAGATTGGCCTTAGACTTTCAAGAAAAGGAGCTTAATGCTTAATGTATTAACATTTATTTGTATTGTAGGAATTATTTATTGGGCATGCTTTGTATGATGATAAACCTACTATCATTCATCATTTTGCTAGACAGAAAAAATTTAAATATCCCCATTTTGGTACCGGATTTGCATTGACTTCCAATCTCTTAAAAAGGTTTTTTTTTCTTTGTTTTAACAAATACAAAGTACAAAATTTGTATTATACAAAATTACATAATTTTTTTGTATGTATTTGTTTCAGAATTTCAGAGTCTGTAAGATTACAACCTACTAATGATTTTTCTATTGATCCTGCTTACGAATTAGCAGATTATATTTTTAAAAGCCAAAAGCCTGTTAAATTAACTCACGTACCTGAACTATGCGTTGTTGCTACCAATTCTTGTGCGACATACCCCAGAGTCTTTCATCCACGTGTAAGTTGAAAAATAATATTTATACAAATAAATTTAATATATTTAAATGTAATTATAATTTCAGAGAAAAGAAATTTCTTTAAAAAATATATATTTCGCTGTAAAAACTTGTTCCATGTATCACAATAACAGAATCCCCATTATTAAAAAGACATGGGCAAAACATGCTGTAAATATAGGATATTTCAGTGATCAATCGGGTAAAATTTGATTTATTATTCGTTTCAATATAATTTGTTTATTTTAATCATAGGTATAGAAATATAGAATAAACAATATTTTCTCAATATAGATAGTAACTTACCAGAAGCATTTGTTGTAACAAATACTACAAAAGGACACTGTGCTAAGACTTATGATATTTTACAAAAAGTTATTAAAATATTGGAAAGTAAAAATATTGATTGGTTAATCATAAGCGATGACGATACTCTTTTCAGGTATATTACAATAATATATACCACATCACTTTTATCGTTGACTAATGAATTTTTATAATTATGAAAAACAGTGTGGCACGATTAATGAGTTTATTAAAAAATTATTTTCCCAAACATTCAATTGCTATTGGTGAACGTTATGGTTATCACGTATCAGAACCATATGGATATGATTATTTAACTGGTGGTGCTGGTATTATTCTATCTACGCCTCTTATTTATCAAATATTAGATGTTTGTAAATGTCCATCAGCGAGTACACCGGATGATATGTTTCTTTTTGGCATATGTTTAGAAAATTTGAGAATAAAGCCTACTCATTCTTATTTGTTGCACCAGGTATTTGCAGTTTTTAAGATAATCTATATAATATTAAAACTTAAGAAATATTTTTTTTTTATAATTAATTACATATTTTATATAATTTAGGCTCGTCCTGTGGACTATGCTACTGCTTATCTCGCTTCGCAAGAACCAATATCCTTTCATAAATTCTGGGAAATTGATCCTATAAAAGTATATAATCAATGGTTCTACGATGCAGATAGTTCACTTACCAAAAAACGTACCGAATTATAATACTGATGTGCAATAAGAATTCTTTGATCTCAGATAAAGATCAATGATAAAACTATTTTATTTATATAAGAAATTTTGTTATATAATATTATTTTGTATAGAATGTAATAAAATAAATATTTTAAAAAATAAGCAATTAACATTTTTAAATTTTTTATTAACATATATTTATAATACCAATGTTTTTATACCTATACCATGATTTAAAAAAATATATATATATATGTCCATCTATAAAATGTATACATGCAACTGATGCATATTTTATAGATTGATCAAAACTCTATGGGTATTTTTTATAAATTGGCCGGGCAATGTATGAAAATGAATTCTATCAAAAAGTTTTTTTATCATAATTTTGATCGTATTATTTCTTCCCACCATATAGGACGTTCTAAATTCGCCTTATCTTCAAAAATCTTCTCTTGGATATGTTTATATACCTGTTGACATTTTTACATTATTAAATAACAAATTTTAAAGATATTTGATAAATGAGTTGTATTAATTAGTTGATAATAAACATACATTTCCATCAGCCATTCCTAGGGGTGAATTAATAATATAATCAGGTGGTGCTAATACATCAACTAAAGCCACAGCATCTACCAATAAATCTTTACATAACATTATAATTCCTTGTCGTAATTTATCATCCATGTGACTCTCAACTGATGCATAACCACCAGCATACAAATCCACTAATCTTTTTTCCAAAATCGTACAACCAAATAATGAACACAACTTTCTGAGTACCTCATATTCTTCCTTTCTCCACTTTGATTCTTTTATGCATTCGACAAAAGTTTTTAATAAAACGTACTACGAAAATTATATTAAAAATAATTAGAACAGAATTAGGATATATTATAAAATGAAAATAAAAATAATTTCTTACTTCTCCATATACAAGAGATAATGTTTTCGCAAAAAATAATTGTGAATTGTTCCGCACCATAAAATCGGTACACCCGTTTTCTTTGAGACTTTGTACGTGTTTATATGTTTTTTTTAAATAATAACATACCAACCATTTGAATGAAAATAATAAATCTGAAATAAAATTGATGCATTTTGTTATAACAAGAATCAAATGATAACTTGATCAATTTATAAAACAACTATTAGTATACTTTCAAGGTTCATCGTTTCTTCAATTGTCTTGCAATTAAATTTTTGTTTTAGGATATTTTTACTATCTTGTAAGAAATCTATTGTTCCAAGCGGAGATGAAATAGTTTGTCCATTCAAAATACAAGACCATTGATTTAATAACCAGTTACTCGATTGTTGAATGAGTATATTATTTTCACCTTCATAAGTGCAATTTGCATCATGATCAGCTCGTATATCTCCTAAACGTGACACTGTAAACAAATCGATGACATTATTTCCGCAACATTTAATTATTTTACGTTACTAATTGTTTCTACATACTTTTTAAATATCCATGACCACCACACGACTCTCTGCAATCCTGAATAGCGTCTCGTGAAATCCACGAACACAATGGTTTCACAACAGAAGATAAAGCGTGTATTTCCATACCTTCGAAATGAATTTCATCGGGATTTTCCTTACTTAGAAGCTTTATTTGAAATTCTTGTATTTTCGTGCCATATTTTTTGTAAAAAATTTGTATTGCGTATGCCGATGCCAAATGCGGGAACAATCTACCTTGCTAAAATGTATAACATAAATTAGTGATTAACTGTAATGGTTTATAATATGTTATTTTTATAATTATTAGAAATGTTTAAATTCATATAAATAAAATACCAGTGTTTGATATTCTATTACAGGCCACTCTTCATTTTCCGATGGACCAAATTGTTTTCTTACCGCACAATATCGTAATGCTATAACTAGTGCAAGATTTAAAAGACCCGAACATAATCCCGTAATCATGATACGTCCTAATGACAATGAACCAAATGTCGCACCTAAAAGTATTTTTAAATAATAAGTAATTTTAAGAATACAAACAAATTATACAATTATAGAGATATTTATATACTTATATAAATACCAAGTCTTTTATTTTTATCTTTGATGGGTGATATATATTGTCCATCTTCAGTAACATCGGCTGTTCGATTTAACAAGTACGTATATGGAATATGATAATTGTTAAACATAACAAAACCATTATCAACTCCGTTAAGTCCAATTTTTTCGCCTAAATCTCCAACAGTTACACCAGGGAATGGTAAATAGGTTTTAGGATCTCGTATAGGTACAACAAAAGAATGAAGACCGTGATTTACACCATCAGGAGTAATTAATTGTGCAAAAATAATGGCATGTGTTGCAGATTGACCTATCATTTTCCAAAATTTAATATTAATTAATTATATTAATATACTATATAATAGCAATACGCAATAAACAATACTATTTTAATACATGTACCTAAACCACCAACCCAACATTTTGCAGCTTCAAAATCTGCTGAATGTAGACAAAATGTTTTTCTATTAACATCATATGTTGCAGTAGTCCTCATACCTTTAGCATTTGAACCATGCGCTATTTCAGTTAAAGCAAAACAGCCTAAATACTGAAAAATTATTAATGCTTGTTAACATTTCTTTACAGAAATATTAAATTTGTATATTTTTCTACTTACTTCCCGATTGGAGATTTTTGTGATAAGATCTTCATGGCGTTTCGTACCTAAAGTAAAAATAACATTTGGAACCATACCATGCATAATACTTAGTTTGACTATTGTTGACGGATCATATTGAGCAAGTAAATTTAAGGTAATTCCAAATGTAAATGGCTATAATTGATTTGTATGCATGTAACAGAAATCATAATGGAAATAAGATTAAGTATTTGTTCAAGTATAAAACAAATTTCAACATTCAAACAAATATACTTACATTAATATCATTGTCTAGTAAAGCATTAATTTGAGCTGTACAAAGTCTATGACTTTCATCTAATGTTAAAGACTTGGATAAATTTTTTCTAAATACAGAATTGTCCCTTATAAATGAGAAGAGTTTATTCTACAAATATATTATTTTTTTATTTTTCAATTAACATTTCCGATAGTAAGGTTCTGTAAATGTTTTTACTTATATTTACCTCAAGTTCTAAATCTTTTTCCCCGGTTAAATTTATTTTAAGTAATTTCCAATCAAATCTAGCCAATTGTCTGTATTTATCCAAAGGACCTTTTGGTAAATCATTTATTAAACTTTTTAAATTTGTTAATCTCATTGTTTCGTATAAATGTTTTGAAACTGTAAAAAAATATAAACAATGTAAGTCACTGATATAATCCTCGTTAGTATAGTGGTTAGTATCTCCGCCTGTCACGCGGAAGACCGGGGTTCGATTCCCCGACGGGGAGATTTTTTTTTATTTTTATTACATTTCCTAATGTTTTTAAAGTTGAATATTTAAATATATATATTTTGGATTCAAGTATTTCAATAATATTTACTTTATCTATGTAATAAATAATTATTTATCGTGTATTTACTATAATCTAGTAGAGACTACTAGACTATATAAATCCAAGCATTTATCCCGGCTAAATCTAAGATATTGAAAAATACCTGTAAAGGCCATCTCTGAAATTTAGATTTTACATTATATTTTCCGGCCATTTGATTTAAACCCTATTTCTATTTTTTCCCAAACAGTTCCGTCCGTAGCAGTTTCAATCTCTTCCTCATTTTCATTTTCGGAACTAACTATAAACCTCTTTTTTTATGTCCTTTTCGTATGTTCAAAATACTCTCTTCATCCATATCGTTGTTAAATAATTCACAATTATTTTCTGCTGTATCACTATCAATATCGAAAATTTCTTGATCATCTTGCGAACAATCCTCCTCGATATTATTTATTTCAGCTAATAAATTGATATTCCACGAATGTCTTGACATTTTTGGGGATGAATATATAAATGATAATAAAGTAAAAACTAAAATATAAAAACATGAAGTAAACGAGGCAAAAAAATTGAGAATAGAAATTTAAAAAAAAATTCACTTGTAAATTATACCACAAAATATTCTTGGCTTTGTTCACTCCGTCGAAACTAGCACTTATAACGCGTAATAATCTCTATTATACACTGGGAAATTTGAAGCTCTCTGTTCGGATAGCAAGACCGTTCTGTCGAACAAAGAACGCCTATTCATTCGTTCTAATCGCTCGTTTGTTTACACTGTAGATATCAGTTACATCTTAGATTCGTGAAACAATTTTAGGAGTTCGATTTTCGAAGAATATAGTAGTATATAAAATGAATTATTCAAATGGTCATGAATTTTTCATGAAATAATTCAAATAATTTTCCATTTCTTTTTCCTTGTTCGTCTTTTGTGTAATTTCAAATTATATCATTAAAAAATTTAATTTTTAAAGGTATAATTTACATGTATGCAAATATACAAAAAAATGTACATTTAAAATAACACAATTGCCTTTTAAATATGTATCGTCTTATTTGCAACAGTCCAATAGAAAATTAATCAATAGATTGAATGTTAAATTATTTATATCCGAGTAGATTATAAATTAAATAAGATAAAGATAGCAGATCAAATTAAGGAAAGTAAAATAAACGCGCCATGATACTATTTCGAATTACATTCACTGCCTTATTTTATATTAATTTTACATCGGCATTTCAAAAGAAGTAATATTTAAGTATTATTATAAAAATATGAAATATATTCAATTATTGTTATATATAAAAAAAATATGATTTTCTTTTCTTTTTACCGACCAGTAAAAATCTGCAAATTGACAAATGTAAAAAAAATACGCGCTATTTGAAACCGGTGATCGATCGATTGATAGAAGAAATTACGAATCGTAGTACTTGTAACATTTTTGTGACAGATCGTATTTATCATGGATTAATAAATAACAACAAGATAATTTCTAACGTTTTAAAATATAACGTGAGTATATAATAAAATATTGTCTTGCTTTTAAAACACATACATTCGCTACAGTATTTAATCATCAAATAAAATCAACATTTATTTATTATTTCATTTATAATATTTTGAATGTAGATCTTATTGTTTGATAACGAAAACTTTTCTCCAACAAGACGAAGCATTCATAAAGTTCTTGCACACAGTAAAACAACTGGATGCAATGGATATATTATACTTGTTACTAACGGCTTATTAGTTTCTAAATTTTTACAATATGCAGAAAGGTGATAAGATTAAGATCTTTTTTAGTGATACTTATGTATTATATCGTACAATATATCATATAAAAATAATTTTAAACGAAATTTAATAAAACTATTTATTTTCCAGAGAAGAATTAATCAACACTCATGGCTTCTTTTTATTATTACACGATTATAGACTTTTCATATCCGATATGCATTATATTTGGAATAGAATAATTAACGTTATATTTGTGCGTCAATATGAACCATACAAATACCGTTCAGGTGACACATCTATTCGACCTATAATTCATTTAGAAACAGTATACTTTCCAAGTCAAAAAAAAAAGTTTGTAATAACGAAGTATTTAGATACGTGGTATCATGGAAAATTTCGTTATGGTAAAGATCACTTTGTACAAAGGATTTCGGATTTAAAAGGAAAAACTTTAAGGTTTGAAACTGTTAATTAATTAAAAATGTAAATATAATTAATTATTGCAATATTACTCATACAATGATTTCTTTTTCATCTTATTTATTCTGAAAGAGTTTCAGTTTTTGAACACATACCAGCTGTAACAAAAGAATCACAGAATTTTTATAGAGGTGGTCCAAGTTACAGCACTAAAGGCTTGGGCATTGAATTTGAAGTTTGTACAAGTATCTTACAAGATTATATATTTTTTATATTGATTTGTATAGATTATCTTGTTATCTTTTTTTAGTTAATTCGAGTTATAGCCCAATTTATGAACTTTAAAGCACAGTATTACATGCCTTACAACATAGCCGTTGAGAGATGGGGAACGTTAGAGAAAAATGGAACGTATACTGGTCTTATAGGAGAAGCAATAGCAAGAAAAGCTACATTTTATATTGGAGATCTCCATTACACTTCCTATCTTTTAAAATTCTTTGAGTTATCTATTCCTTATAACACGGAATGTCTTACTTTCTTAACTCCTGAATCCTTAACAGATAATTCATGGAAACTTTTAATTCTTCCTTTCAAGTACGATCATTAATAAGAGGACAATTTTTTCTAAGGAATTACAAAATTGTTCATAAATAAAAAATATTCCTATTATATTTAGACTCTACACATGGATTGCAGTTCTTTTTACACTTTTACTAGCGGGAGGAATTATTCATCTTTTTTCGTTATCTTATCAGAAGCACATAATTATTTGCAAGGATGCAAAAGGACAATTAGTTAAAACTAACGAGCTTAATGAAATAGAAAACTCAAGAATTAAACGTATGACGAAGGATATATATTTGTTTACTGAAGCACAGAATAGCATGTTGTATACATACAGTATGCTACTTTTAGTATCCTTACCTCGATTGCCAAATCCTTGGGCTCTGAGAGTCCTTATTGGATGGTGGTGGATTTACAGTATTTTGGTTGTCGTAGTCTATCGTGCCAGTATGACAGCGACTCTTGCTAATCCTGTGGCTAAGTAAAATCAAAATGTATATAAAATTTATATCGCTAAGTACAATTCAACTTAATTTCATATATTCTTATTATGTTTAAAATACAGAATTACTATTGATACATTGGATCAATTAGCTAGAAGTTCCATTTCCATTGGTGGATGGAGTGAAGAAAGTAAAGAATTCTTTTTACAATCCTCAGACTTGGATAGTCAAAAGATTGGTAATAAATTTCAATTGATAAAAGATGAAAAGGAATCTATAGAAAAAGTAGCGAATGGATCTTTTGGTTATTATGAAAATGAATTCCTCTTGAGGTCCATTCATACAGAAAAATATACGTTGGGAAAAAAGCAGGAAGAAAATAATACATCAGATAATAGAACGTCAGATATGAAACATAATTTGCATATCATGAAAAACTGTATAATTAATATGCCAGTCTCACTTGGAATGGATAAGAATTCTCCGTTAAAACCATATGTTGATTTATGGGTAATAATTATTTTAATAATTACCTTATATCATTGATACTCAAATTTTCTTTAATATATAGATTACCTATACAAATAATATGTTAATATTTTGTTTTTTAGGTTAGACGTATGGTAGAAGTTGGTTTAGTAAATAAATGGTTAAGTGACGTAATCTATCCATCGCATCTTACTGAAAAACAGCAAGAGAAAGTATCTGAGAAAGCATTAGTTAATCTTCACAAGCTTTATGGTGCTCTTGTTGCTTTAAGTATAGGTTATTTTTTTAGCTTAATAACATTCCTATGCGAAATTTTATATTGGAAATATATCGTTTTGAATAATCCTAAATATGATAAATATTACTTAGATAAATTCTATGCTAAAGTATGAATATGTTTATTAAATATTTCTGTAAATTAATTATAATAAAAACAAATAACATTATATATATGAAGCTCTGTATTTACAATAAATTATTTAAATTAATAAATGGTTACCTTATTTAGCAAATTAAATCACTTTATAACAAATTAATTAAATGTGAAATCGTAAACTCGACACTTTTAAAATACGAAATTACAAGTTCATCGTGTAAAAAAAACGGTTTAATATGCAAATGTATTAAATTATAGTCCAAACTCTACAATCCAAAGTTCAGTTTTATTACGCTACAAAAATAAAATAGAATCATTATAATACCTCAATAAATTGCCGGGATTTTTGAATTACTTTTGATTGTTATAAAAAAGTTATTTTGGTAAAAATGGTGACTTGACGGAGATTTCTTAAAAAATTCGCATGGCACTCAACGTGGTAATTACAGTGGGTATAAAAAGTACATACAATAATTAATTTGAAATAAAACTTCGTAGAATTGTTCTTTATTAAGGAATTCCTTTGCTTAAGATTCTCTTCTGTTGGTCTTGCATTGAAATTAGAGGAAACCTAGGTTTATAATAAATTAACTGGTTATCAGCGGGACTATTATTTTTCTGAGGTGAAAGTACCTGAAGGTTTAAAGCAGTCAGGATGAGCTTTTGCAGGAAATACTATTAGTGCTATACTCATATGCATGTACAGGTGTCCATCATATCCAAAAATATTAAATTTACTCTTATCTGTAAAAATAACTTTATTCAAGTACTCCATTGTCTGTTAACATTATTAAAAAGGATATATGTCGTAACTAAATAAATATAAGAAAAAAAAGTAAAACTATTTTAAAAAGTTAAGAGTAAGCTTGAAGCCCTATTCTCGCATATTTATCCGCCATCTCGTTGCCAAAAACTCCTGAATGTCCTCTAACGTGTTTCTGTAATATCATATCATCAAATAAATTTGTTACTTGACAATGAAAATAATATTATATTGTAAACAAACTTTACCCATATAATCTGTAAAGATTCAAGCTCTTTTTCCATTTCTAAAAGTTCTTCTTTGTTGATAACTGGATTCTTAGATGCAGTTAACCATCCGTTTCTTTTCCACTTGGGCATCCATTTGGTTATACAATTAATAAGAAATTTGGAATCAGTGCAAATTCTTAATCTTTTTATACCAGCTTTTTTGGCTTGTCTAGCTGCCATCATCACTGCTTGAATCTCTGCCCTATTATTGGTTGCTCTGCCAATAACAGGTTTGGCTAGATTTCTGTAAATATCAAATATACAAAATCTTTAAATTATGAGCAATAATTTTAATATTTGTTAACACATTGTTGACCGGTAATTTTTTTAAGAATTTAACCGAAATAGGATCCATCAGCAACATTTGGTCACAGAAACACGAGTTAACTCATGACTGGTCAACAATGTGTTAAGACTGTAATAAAATAAATAACAAAACCAACAAATGTTTAAGATGAGGAGCATCAAACCAAACACCAATTCCTGCACGAGCACCTTTATAACCATTTAACGAGCATGCCCCATCTGTATATACATCAGTATAGGATTCGCTCTTTATAGAACCCAAATTTATGTTAACAGAATTCTGTAGAACAAACAGTCGTATGTAAACTTTATTTTTTATACATGTATACAAATTTATAGAATTTATATTATAAAATACTAGTCAAGATTTACCTCTCCTGAGACTTAACCAGTTTATAATTTCCTTACCTCAGCTTTTGATCGTTCCAATTGCGATTGCAGTGTAGATGAACATTTACAGTTGTTTTTCATTTCGCATTCAACAGTAATTGGAATCCTTGATGATGAGAAAAAAAGATTAATAATAACTACCACATTATCTATATTTTAACAATCCAAGTCTCAAGCAATACAATCATGCAATTTAGATTCTTGCCAGAAAATTCCAATGTTATTGAAACATGAGGTACAATCAATATGTAATCTTCAAATTTTGAATTTATCGGCATGATTTTTCTAAAAACTACTGAAACTTAAAGGTTAAATTATTTTTATCAAAGCGATGCTTATTGATGTAAATATAAATAATAAACTAATAGGACTGAATAGAAAATTATATTCTACTTCTCATGAATCTTTGCAAAAATTAGTATAATATTATGCGATATAGAATACAATATATATACATATATATCACCTAAAGTCTAATAAAGTATTATAAAATTAATATCATTGAAAATATTTATATAAATATATTTACCCATCTTTTGAAGCATTTGAAGAATATCGACATATGAAATTTTCGGCTTCTGTCTGTGTGGAGAATTTTTTATATAAAGCTCCAGGATATTTAGAAACTAGCTCATTACATTCAGGCCTTAAAAAATTATAAAATAATTAAAATAAATAGTTATTTAAGATGCATATTATATAAATTATTTAATAAGTTTAGTTTTAGTCTAACCAAGAAAGATAAACTCCTGGTTTTCTACCTCTGGCAACAGCATAATAAAACTGTGGCATTTTGAAAATATAATTTAAAACACGTAGAGCACCCAATTTCATAAATCAAACTGAAACGTTTTCTACATATAAGAAAAACGGAAATTTATAAACAAAGAAAACGAACTCGTGTTCTGTACACAATCAATACGCATGCGCGAAATCCCATAACTTTCCTAATTGGTTAGAAAAATTATCATCGTTAATATTAAAATAAAAAAAAAATTTATGATAATAATTATCAGAGAATCTCAATTATATCTGTTTTTATCATTAATACAAGTTTAAAGATTTTTATTAAAAATAGTTCCCATCAACCGTTCAAATAGAGGAAGTACTACGTATGAAAGTACTACGTGAATTTAGACAAACTATTTGAAAAAGAAAAAACAATAATAATTCGTAATAATAAATACAGATTAGAGCACTATCTATTAATAAATTTGCTAAATTGAGTATGCTTTTTTTGCCTAAACATAAAGATCATATAAATGTGTATCAAATGTATGTTATCTATTATTAAAAGTAAGATAAGAATATCGAATGACGTTCAGACTAAACTTCCGGTTGCGCAAAGATCATTAATTTCGTCGCCATCATAGCGACGAAATCGCGACCGTGGTGGTCCGCAGAAATATTTAATCGTCGTTTACGACGAAAGGGAGGCCGATCGCTTCCTAAAAGAAAATAAAGCGAGAACTTTCGCTTTCTTCTTTCGCTTTTCGTTTAAACGTCGTTAAAAACCGACTTATCGGCGGTCGACCATCGTCTTATCGAGGGTTTCTTTTACAACTTTGGAATTGACGAAACATGGCTTATTGAAGAAGATGAAGGGCTTGCGGAAAAATCCTATTTCTCCATACGGAGGAGACCATATCTCTGCCAACGCAATAAACGAGGCCAAATTTAGCCGAACTGCCAATGGACAAAAAGACCAAATATCCACAGTCCTCTTCAAAGGGGACTGCTGGTGATTCCAAGAAAAGTCAAGGTACGTCACCACTTCGTGTCGCTAGTTGTTAAAATGATATTAACTTTTCTTGTATTTTATTTTCTATCAATTTCTTTATAAACAATCTTTACTTTTCAATATTAATATTACTAAATACTAAAATCTATTTTGTTTGATAATATCTAACTATTATGATATTAGAAAGATCTGCTATTTCATATGTGACTGTTAACGTATATGGCGCAATAGCATTAGAAACACATTTCATGATTTTGAATATAGATTCAAAATATATACATATACATAGGTATATGTTTGTTGACAGCGTTTGAAGGTCCTTTGTCATAATCATGTCTTTTATTTATTTTAGATGTTGCCAACAATAAATTATTTCCGAAAACATCACGAAAACGTGAACCAACTGGCGTTAATACCTTGTCCAAATATGATCAGACTAAAAAGTACAATACACAGAAAGCAAAAACTTTTGATAAGAGACCAAAACCTAAAGGACAATATCATGGCGGTTCAAAGGAGGATACCAAGGTAAATATTTAGAGAAAGAATAAACAAAAGAGAATTTTTAATTTTTGAATAATATTAGGTAGTAGAAAGTGAAGTAGCTGAGTATGGCTCAGTTATGGCTCAAGGAAGTAAAAAGCAGAATTTGAATCATCTGCTAAATTTTCATTATGAACCACGAGACATGCGAAGTGGTTCGGATACATGGAGATTAGGAAGCGTAAATAAAGGAAACCGTAACAGCAACAGATGGCTACCGCCAGTACAACGGCATAAGTATAACAAGGAACAATTCTTGCAAGCCAGGTGAAAATTTATAATTGTATTCTAAACCAATTTCTTTTTATACGTATCTGTATACATATATATTAGATATTTTTAACTTATTTTTATATACTTTTTTTAGCTGCCAATTTATTGTGACTCCCAATGAAGATTATTCTTTATACCTAACTGATCCTGATATCCTCGTTGATTGGAAATTTATTGAACAGATAGTAAGTTTCTCTAGGTATATTTATTTATTTTTGTTTCTATTTGATATAAGTTAAAATGAATGATTCTTTATATTAAATTTTCGTTTCAGAAAATATATAATACAGAAAGCTTATCATGCCCAATTTGCTTATTCGCCCCAGTAGCTGCAAAAATGACTCGTTGTGGTCATGTTTATTGTTGGCCATGCATTTTGCATTATTTATCTTTATCTGATAAGTCCTGGCGCAAATGCCCTATTTGTTATGAATCTGTACACAAATCTGATTTGAAAAGGTTCATTTAACTTCTCTTATCTTACGTACAATTTCATTTCATTTCTATTTTGATTTATTTATAGATAAATAATTGAATTTATGTTTAGTGTTATTGAAGTTACACAGAATGCTGTTAATTTGGGTGATCCAATAACATTACGTTTAATGCGGCGTGAAAAAGGTTCATTAATTGCGATGCCAGCAAGTGAACCTGTTGCAACAACATTTTTTCAAGTTTCTAAAGATTGCAATAAACAAGTTTATTCTAAACTTCTAATAGCAAACCCAAAAGATGTAAGTTCTATTATATGAACAAAAAATTTCCACAAACACTGAATAGAAGATATTTGTCATTAAGTTTATTCAGTAAAATATTATCAAAGATTTTTCTAATTATGTATAGATTATGGATATCATAGAATCTGAACGGATACAGTTAGAAATTCAATTAATGGATGATCCACATTCTCCTGAAAATTGCTATATTGAACAAGCAATTCGTGAACTTGCCAAGAGAGAAGAGGAACTCTTACAAAAAGTATTTCTTAATTTTTCTTTAATTTTCATTGTAAACTAAAATTAATAAAATATGTAATTGAATGTAGAAAGTAAACGACAATAGATCACATCAAGAAGTAATGGGAGATATTTCATCTACATCAATAGAAGATAAAACAGATCAAGAAAAACAAGAAAGTCATCAATTAACAACACACCAAATGGATGACGAAAAAAATAATTTATGCGAAGATCAATTATTGTGCGAAGAAACAATCGTAACAAATATTGACAATACTTTGTCGAATGAAACGCTATTACCTTCACCTTCACAAAAATTTTTTTATTTCTATCAAGGTAACTTAATAATAATAGATTATAAAAATAAAAAAAAAATTACATTTACATATAATTTTTAGCTGAAGATGGACAACATATTTATCTCCACGCGATGAATGTAAAAATGTTGGAAATGCATTATGGTAGTCTCGAGCATTGTCCACCGGTGATTACAGGAAAATTGTTAGAAAAGGAAGTAGGCAGTTTTACGGAAGATTTACGACGACGATTAAGGTACCTTTGCCATCTACCTATAACCTGCCCATTTGAAGTTGCTGAAATTGAGCTTAAACCACCTACTGTATCAGAAGATGTTCTTTACTCTTTTCATGGTAATAAATCATGTTCTGTTGTTGTTAACACATTGAACATCTTTATTGTGAGATATGTTCTATTTGATGGTTTTATTTTTTTTTACATCTGTTTAATTTCTAACAAAATATAAGTAATGTTCTATATAAAATCTGATCAACGAGTCACTGTAAAAATTCATTTAAAAGTCAATATCTATTTCGTTGTAAGACGAATAATGTGCAAACACTCATGTTCAATGTGTTAAAATGATCAACGTTATTACTTTATGTTTATTTATCATATTACATTCTTAATATTATAGAACAATTGGAAACTCGTCAAAAGCGAAGACGACGTAGAGAGCGTGAAGAAAGGAAACGAGAAAAGAAGATTATTGAAGAAGAAAATAAACAAATGGGCAAATATCCTGTCGCAAATGTAAACATCGATTCAACGCATCATTTTCCTCAGTGGCAACCCGAACTTTTTATAGAGTACGTCCTTATGTTATTGCTCTTAATTTCATGTTGTAAAATGATGAGAAGAAATGAAGAATGAAAGTAAATATATATTTTATTTATTTAGAGATTCAATCTTATCACCACCAGAATCATTGGCTACCTCCAGTGTAGCCAGCAGTCCGTCTTTAAGTACATTTGACGAAGTTGTCTCAACTACAACAAAATTAACTAGCACGAATGAACAAGGTCCATCATTTGCTGAAATGTTACGCAATACCGGTGCACGTATGAAAACTAATAAAGCTTGGCCAAGTATCAAAACAACTCCTTCTGAAAGATTAAGAAATACCAATGCAAATATTGAGGACGATGATAATGCTCATGCTCCATCTTATAATCAAAGTTTTGGTGACGCCTTGGCACAAGCTTTGGAGCAAACAAAATTGTTAGATGCTGGTACGACGATATTATTTAAAAATATAATATATATATATATATATATTAATTTAATTTTTGACTCGTACAAATATTCATTTTTTTAACATGTTACAGAATCTAATGACAATGTGAAAGATAAAAGGAAAAAGAAAAAGAAGAGTAAAGCTACTATATTATTTGCAACCAATATGATGTCACGCTCCTCATAAAAAGGGAAAAGCTTGAGTGTTATTTTTTTTAGTAAAGCTACTGTTTTTTTTCTTCAATTTAAGCTAAAATTTAGTTGGTATTCGGAAATAAAAAGTTGGATATTTTATTGAAAAAGTTGCATCTTTTTTAGTATTAGATTTGCTTTTAAGTTGAATGTAAAATTTTCTTAATAAGCTTGCAAAAAATAAAAACCTTAATTTCAAAACTAATTATGGAATATATATCTATTATATTACTAATCACAGAATCTTACCTTAATACTTAACGTACGGGCCCCGTATATTTACGTTTTTTCATTGTGACTTCCTAGGACGGGTCACGTAGATCTACGTTTTTCCATGAATTTTTAGTATGTTGCAGTAGGATTTTCTTTTATGCAAATTGTTATTTTTTCATGATACTATCAGTTACAGATATAAATACCGTTATAAAATATTATAAGAAATATAATTGATTTAATAAAATTATAACGCTTTAAATCCATACATTCATGTTTATTTAATTCTCCTGAAAAATGGCCGGAAACTAGGAAAGAAAGAGCAGATTCGACCCGTACGTTAAGTGTTAACGAGAAATAAAATAATAAAATAAAATAATCGTGGAACATCAAGTTCAAATAATTAAATATTGATTTTTTGATTAATTTTCTACTTTAATAATATTAATTAATGCAAATTTATCATTGAAAATTATATCTTTAAATTTATAGTTTAATGGTAGAAGAAAAGAGAAGATAATAATAAAAACTGCAATTCAAAATAGGTTTCGGAAAATGGTTCTGTATTTAATGCAATTCTTGGGAACATAGAAACTTTAACAAATCTTCACGAGACTTACAATTGTTATAATACAGTGTAGAGATACTATCATCACTGTAAAGATATTATACAAATTTAATTATTATAAATTACCTAAGTACCTTAAGTAATAAATAAATAAATAAAGTGAGAAGAAAGTAACAGGTACTGAAAAGATATACGTTTAAAAAGTTGTTTATGCTGAAGAATGTTAAAAATAAAAATAAGAAAAAAAAATATAACAAAAAAAAGTTGCTTGTAATTGTTCTATGTTCTTTTATTCAAGTACATATTTTTGAGAATGGGCAGTAGCAAGTGGGAACAATTTTTCCTTTAATCGACTTCTTCGATGGTAGGTCCAGAAGCGCTTCCACCACCAGGAGCTCCACCAGGAGCAGCGCCGCCTGCACCAGGGAAAACACCTGGCATTCCACCGGGCATGCCACCTGCTCCTTGGTACAATTTCGTGATGATGGGATTGCAGATGGATTCAAGTTCTTTCTGCTTATGTTCATATTCTTCCTTATCAGCCAGCTGATTAGCATCGAGCCATTTAATGATTTCATTGCATTTGTCCAAGACAAGTTGTTTATCACTGGCGCTAATCTTATCCTTAAGTTTCTCATCTTCAGCAGTGCTCTTGATATTGAAGCAGTAAGACTCAAGACTGTTCTTAGCGGCAATGGTTTCTTTTTGTTTCTCATCCTCGCTGCGGTATTTTTCAGCTTCGTTAACCATCCTCTCAATATCTTCCTTACTAAGACGTCCCTTGTCATTGGTAATTGTGATTTTGTTCTCCTTGCCAGTAGATTTGTCCACAGCAGAGACATTAAGGATACCGTTGGCATCAATATCGAAGGTAACTTCGATTTGCGGTACACCTCGTGGTGCTGGTGGAATTCCACTAAGTTCGAATTTACCCAAAAGATTGTTGTCCTTGGTCATAGCACGTTCACCCTCATATACCTGAATCAATACGCCAGGTTGATTGTCGGCATAGGTAGTAAAGGTTTGAGTTTGTTTCGTTGGAATAGTGGTGTTTCTCTTAATAAGAGCTGTCATGACACCGCCAGCGGTCTCTATACCAAGAGATAATGGAGTGACATCAAGGAGTAAAAGATCTTGAACTTCCTCAGATTTGTCTCCATGAAGAATGGCAGCTTGTACTGCCGCGCCATAGGCTACGGCCTCGTCGGGGTTGATGGATTTGTTGAGTTCCTTTCCATTAAAGAAATCTTGTAGAAGTTTCTGAATTTTGGGGATTCTGGTGGAACCACCAACGAGGACGATGTCATGTATTTGTGCCTTGTCCATCTTGGCATCGCGTAAAGATTTTTCTACTGGTTCAAGAGTGCTCCTGAATAGATCTGCACAGAGTTCTTCAAAACGTGCTCTCGTGATGGAAGTATAGAAGTCAATACCTTCGTACAAGGAATCAATTTCGATACTTGCTTGGGTTGATGAAGAAAGGGTACGCTTCGCCCTTTCGCAAGCTGTGCGCAGACGTCTTAATGCACGCTTATTCGAAGTAAGATCTTTTTTGTATTTGCGTTTAAATTCTTGTACGAAATGATTGACCATTCGATTGTCAAAATCTTCACCGCCAAGATGGGTGTCTCCAGCCGTGGACTTGACCTCGAAGATGCCATCTTCGATCGTTAGAATTGAGACATCGAAGGTGCCACCGCCAAGATCAAAGATAAGGACGTTTCGCTCGCCTGATGCTTTTTTATCCAAACCATAAGCAATGGCCGCAGCGGTGGGCTCGTTGATGATACGTAATACATTTAAGCCCGAGATGGTACCAGCGTCCTTGGTTGCCTGACGCTGCGAGTCGTTGAAGTAAGCAGGAACGGTGATGACAGCATTGGTGACGTTCTTTCCTAAATATGCCTCTGCAGTTTCCTTCATCTTCACTAGAACCATGGAGCTTACTTCTTCTGGGAAGAAAGTCTTCGTCTCTCCTTTGTATTGGACTTGAATTTTTGGTTTGCCGCCTTCATTTACGACGGTGAAAGGCCAGTGCTTCATATCAGTCTGGACAATAGGATCTTCGAAACGACGCCCGATCAGTCTTTTGGCATCTAAAAAAAATTACACAAAAATAAGAATTTGTTCAATATCAGGTATATTATATCGAACAAAAAACAACAAATTAAATGAAAAATATCTAATCGTAAAAAAAAAAGAAAAATTAATTAAAAAAATAATTAAATGAAATCTGTTAAATTAGACAGACACATTAACCTTTTCGCTACGGTTTTTAAAAATTTATTTAAAAAATTATTTAAATATATTAATAATTATATTAATAAATTATTTATTTAAAATTATTTAAAAACTCTATTTTACTATGAAGTTCTCTGAAACAATAGCACGTTGACGGCCATGTCAGCCATATATGGCTGACGCTCTTTTTTAGTGCTTACAAGGTATATTAATACATATTTTGAAAAATTTCCATCAAAAAAAAATAATCCTCTCCATAGGATAAGAATTTCTTTTTAAATGTAATATTTTATTACAATAAGTAATTATTGACACAGTATCGTTATATACCGGCATTGTTGTATAGCGTAGTATAGCAGCGCGCGTCGGTCACACGGAATTTTTTTTAAAAAACTAGCGTGATGGTCAACGTGTTAATGGTCATTATTTTAGTTATTAATAGCAAAAAATGCAAAACAAATGCACGGCGTTTATAGGCGCTTTTCGCTTAATAGAAGAGTCTATAGTTGAACGCCTATAGACGCTGCTTACTCAGGAGAAGCGCCCATAATGGAGCGCTTATAGACGCTGTTCGCTCAGGAGAAGCGTCTATAGTTGAGCGCCTATGGGTGCTGTTAGCAGCAAAAGGATTAATAATGATTGGTGAAATTTTTAAAATAGGTCAAATTATCTAAAAGCGATAGACAGAGAATGACGCAACTTACCAAAGATGGTGTTGTTGGGATTCATAGCAACTTGGTTCTTTGCGGCATCTCCGATGAGACGCTCGGTATCGGTAAATGCAACATAACTGGGCGTTGTACGATTTCCTTGATCATTAGCGATGATTTCAACCTTTCCGTGTTGGAAAACACCAACGCAAGAGTAGGTTGTGCCGAGATCAATACCAACTGCAGGTGCTTTGGCCATTTTAGTTTTCTTTTAGTTTCTGCAAGAACAAAGAAATCAAAATGTCGTATACGTCAAGACGTCAATTTATTTCATTAAATAATTTGATATTATCATTTAACCGCACAATGATGCACCACAAATTTAACGTTTATGCAAACAATAGAAAGAAGTCGACGCGGAGCACTAACAATAAAACGTACCTTTTCTTTGTTTCCGAATATGAAAAATGTTTCCTCAGAAGGATAGTGAATAACTTCTTCGCACGACGATTCGCAACGTGAGTGACGAGTCCGCACCCTGCCGCAGTATATATTATCCGGAAAGGACGTTTCTGGAATGTTCCTCCTGTTCCACCAGCCCTCGACCAATCAGGTTCCAGCTTATACGAGGGAGGTGATACGATTCGTCGACCCCCCTACTACGTTACTCATCGAGGCAATCATGAAAGGATTATTGACGATCGATTAACAACTTTAGATATTATTTTTTCTTAACAACGATAATATATTCGACATTTAAAATATTATATCATTGTAATTAAATTATTGACATATAATCCGTACATTTAGAGACCTTAATTTGTGGATTTTGTTAAATTCTAAAACCGAGAATGACGCAGAAGTAATGCGGAAGGAAAGTTGGAGAAAAATCTAGCGGTATTGTTAGAAGCTACTACGCAAGCGCAAGCCGTTACGTATATGTAACCGACTTACACACACTATCACACTTATGGATCGTCGTCTCGCTTTCAACCGTTTTTCAACCGTTTTTTCCGCCATTTTCGTCGTTTATTTTACACGCATTACTAACAATTTGTATAACATTCAACTAACCTTTTTAACTATTTTATTTCAACTTTAATGATGATAACATCTATCATTTCATCAGATTTCGAAAGATTTTGTTATTGTTTTTTGATATTAATTTTTAAACAATATCACACGGATATTGATTTAACTGAGACGATTATAGAAATAAAACCTTCGAAAATTAACTAGAAAAATACCGATGAGTCATTCAATGAGTACGATAAGGTCATATCAAAGAATATGGAAAAAATCCTTTACACGTTCTTTTCTTTCTTCTCATTTTATGCCTGATCATCATCGTTTCTATCTATACATATTATCCAAAAGTACTTATGAGTAGTTTCCTAAAACACACATATACAGACATCAAATAATATCTAATTTTTCTAATAATTTATCGGAAAGATAAGTTTTACTAATTATCTGTTATTTGAATCCAATTCATGTGTTCGATAGAATTCACATTCGGTTATGACGCACATCAAAAGATACGGACGATGAAATTTATACACACATGTATAGATATATATACCACGTGTATTCCTTGACTTAGTTAGATTTCTCGAGGAATTATAATTTTAGTTTTCGTATAAGACCACGAGATCATCGTCAGCAAATCTTACAAAGTAATTTGATACGATCGATTAAAGTTTGAAATTCAGTTAAAAGATATTTAACAAAGAAATAACAGATTTTGTCTAAAAGATGGTTCTAGAAAAATCCAGACTAAATTCGAAACTAACCTCATATATACATACATGCATATATACATACATATATACGTACATATATACGTACATATAATACATATATATATATATATATATATATATATATATACAATTTATGAATAATGGTTATATAAACTAGATAAGACTGAAATTAAAATTTGTTTCGAATCATCTATTATTCAATTCGTAAACTATCATTATTTCCTACAAATAAATTTTCCTTCACGATTCTTTGTAATACAAACACATATAAACAATTTTTATAGAATTATTTTTACGTTTTTTTATTAAATGCATAAACATTGCTATGATTTTAATTGGAATATCATTTGTATAAAAATGTTTATAAAATTTTATTGAAATATGGCTTTGAATTTACATCAATAATGTCAAGAAATGTGTATACTATGTACACAAATATATGTGTATGTATATATATTATGTATAAACTATACGTGTGTGTGTGATCAAGGTCATGACCAACGTTCGAAAGAATATACACCAACCACATAAGGTTTCACAGCAATGTAGAAGAAATATGTAAAAATATAAATACGAATATCTAGAGAAAAATAAAGATATATAAAACGCGTCGAGATTTTATGATTTCAAAAAAGAAAATCACATAAAAAATATCTTAAAAGAAGCAGAAAGAATGTGTATAAACGCAAGTTAAAAGATATGATATTGTTTAAATAAAACATTTTCTATGATTAAAGGTTTTATAAATGGACGATAAAGTATTAGTCACTAAGAAAAGCAAATAAAGATTAATTATTAATATTCTTGTAAATTGAATATTATATTAATTGATGACTATTATAATAAACATATTTTTATTATTTAGAAAAAGTTTATATATAATATGTGTATTATAATTACTAATAAAATAGTCGTTCTGTTTTACCGACTGTTCCGATATGATTTGTTGTAGTAGTTCAGAAAGAGTGAATTAAAGATGAGGGCGACACTTTACCTGTGTATTTTCCTTGTCAATCCAGTCGATTTGGTTTTTCTTTGTTGGGTGCGTCATATTTCAATGCAATAAATAATCGCGATTGTGTTATTTTTTTCTTATCGATAGGAAATTATTCGTATTAATAATACAAGGAAGAATATAATAAAATGATTAAAGGGTAAATAAAATTGTTTTGTTAATTTTGGTCTAATTAAATAATAAATTTTGTTTTTACATACTTATTTATCTTTTGACGTTAATCTGTTATATTCTGGTTACTTTTGAAAATTTAAAAAATATTGGTAGATCTAGTAATAATTAACGTCGTTATTTTTGTAGGTTATATTTTATAGATTATCATGGAAGACTGTAAAATGCGTGAAGTAGAAACAACATTAATTATTACTAGATAGTTAATTAAATATTAAAAAATGGAATTTATTATTAAAAAAACTACGTGTAAAGATGGTGTCGATTCGTGGAAGAATAAAAAATGTCTTATTGAAGAGGCATTCAAATCGATGGACACAGATTCAGATGGTTATTTAAATTATTATGAAACTAAAACAGCTATGAAAGCTTTGGGGTTAAGAATAAATAAATCTTTTGTTTTATCGACTATTCGCATGTACGATAAACGTGGTGATAGCAAAATTAGTTTTGATGATTTTTATTTCGTCGGTCTGTACGATTATATTCAATATATTATAACTCTGTTAAGTAATATAGAATTATATAGTGTTATAGATTAACTTAGTTTTATTCTAATTATTAGTATTTGAAAAGTTGAACAAGCAAAATCCTATAGATCATCTTAAGTATGTGTTCAAGATTTTTACTGCAGAATCTTTGATAGATAAAATTAGATTGGAAGATTTACAAAGAATTAATAATAAAATTGGCTGTAATCTGACCATCGATGAAATGCAGCTTATGATCAAAGAATTTGATAGGAATCAAGATGATTCTAGTAAATGCATTATGTTACATTTTTCTTTTTTATCAAATTTATTAAAACAATTTATCGAGTTAAATACTCAGATATCTAAATATTGTTGCAAATGTTCTGCATTATTGTTTCTTTCTTTGTAGTTGACGAAGCTGAATTCATTGAAATGATGACTGAGTCATAAAATTAAACCAAGTTATTAGAAAATTGTATGGAAAATTATATTATTTATTTCATCGGTTAAAATGAATTCACAAATTGATTGGGATGCAGAACATCGTCGTACATTGCTCGAAAGTAATGCTACTTTGGAACGTACAACGCAATCTTTGACAAGATCGCATATAGTCGCAACTGAAAACGAGCAAATAGGAACGGAAGTAATATCTGAATTAGAAGGACAAAGAGAGCGTCTATTACGAGCAAAAAGAAGATTGTCTCAAACCGATGAAGAACTTAATAAAACACGGAGAATTTTGAATAGAATGAGAATAGGAGTGTTAACTAATAAGTTTGTATTAGGGTTGATCATACTGTTGGAAATACTTATACTTGGTATAACCGTTTATTTAAAATTTTTTTATAAAAAATAAAATTTCCAAGGACTCTTCGTTTGAGAGAATATTGAAATTTATTAAATAGGTATCTTGAATCATTTTGTAATTTGTTTCTTTTTGTTTTTACTGTAAATAAACTATAGTTTAAAATATTTTTTAAAAATTAATCTCTAGAAGATTGTCTCAATGTATTGTCAGAACTTTCCAGTTCCATCTAGCGTTCGAATTTAGGAGTATAGTCTCGATGGTAAGTTACCATCTTAGCAATTTCTAGCATTGTATAGATTGCATCGAAAGTACATAGAGAGATGGTGTTCGCGAATGCTCCAAAAACAAAGAGGGTGTGAATTTTCTCTTTGTATATTTTATATATTTACGGACTAATTGTGAGAATTACAAGTGACAGTTCTTCAATGTTATTCTATAGAGATGTATAAATAGACATGAAAATTTAACACTCTATTTAAATCTTAGTCTTTCAAGTAAGTTTAATTTTTTGTGGTACAATTTGCAAGACTAGTCGAAATTCATTTGATTTTTTCAGTGTGCTTTTATAATGCATAAAGACACATGTATATTATGAATATGTAATATCTTCATTATAATAACAAATATGATTAAAATACAAATGTAGTGAAATATACATACATATATATATATATATACATATATATATGTATATATAATGTATTTAAATTTTGTGTGATATTGTAAACGTAATCTAATTTAATATATGTTAAAAATATCGCAATCAACAAATTTTCCTTAACAATTAAATTAATTTTATCAAGAAAAAATATATATTACAATTTATGTTTGTTTGTAAATATAAAATAAATATTTTTATTCTTTTTTAATGCTACAATTATGCTTGTGTTATAACTATTTCTTTTATTAATTTGTAAGAATGAAAGAAAAGCAAAAACAACAGTAGTTGTGTAATTACAAGAGAAGCATTTGAAGAAGTTGACAACTGTTCTAGCATTATGGAGCTACAAGAAAATGATCAAAGCGAAGATACAGCTGCTATGAAGCATATACAGTTTGATTTAGAGATGGATTCTATTACTGAAACAGCTGTTTATTATTCTGCTACTCCAAGAAAATCCCTTCGGGGTAGACGTAAAAAAACGATGGACGGGAGATTACAATCACAAACTTCTTTGTTAAAATCTAATTATAACATTAATGGCGAACAAAAATTAGGTCCAAAGTATCGACCTATATGGCCGAAGCCTTATCAACAAAGTTATTCAAATAAGCCTAAAATCTATGGTCTACCGTCCGCGATGAATGAATTGTCTGCATTAAATCCTGCGAGTCGAATTATTGTTACTACTACGACAACGAGTGCTTCACCAACGAAAGAAAAAGTCCATGATAATATGATGTCGGAGAAGCCTAGTAAGAGGACACATAATTATTCTAAATCTACTACATCAAATTCCAACAATTTGAAATTATTAACCAAAGAAAATGTTAATGCCAAGAATTACGGTAAAAATTGCAATACTTCGAGAAAAGATTTTAATTTCATTCAGATGAAAGACAAAGATAATAAAGATAAAGGTAGCATCGAATTGTTTTTCGAAAGTATGGCACAAACCGTTTTAAGTTTACCTATGCACGTACAAGCTCAAATTAAAATGGAAATTTGTAAGCTTGTTACTATGGCAGAAATCAAATATTCTTCAACGCAATCAAAACATAGCTGTAGAATTGATTGACCCAAGTAACTGTAGAAAAAGATTCTTTATATCTTCGATAATGATTTAGGTATTACTTTTTTTTTTTTTTTTTTTAAATAACCTAATCGTTATTCGAAATGTTAAGTTAATATAAATAATATATATATATATATATATATATTTAGAATAAACTGTAAATGTACAAAAAAAAATATAATAAGAAATATTATTCTAAATCGTGATGTTTTATTTTAAAGAAGGAAGTTATAAAAAGAAAATGCTTATGATACAAGTTCCCAAGATATAATACGTTGTTGTATATATAATGGGTAATTTGTTAAAGAACAGTTTAAATTGCGAAAAAATAGGACAATGAATGCTTTTGTGAAATATTTTTTATGTTTTGACAATAAACACCTCACACAACAAACAGAAGAAGAAATCACACTGTGTGTAAGATTTGTAAAATTGTACAGTGAGTGATCGTTTAACAAATATCACTTTTGAATGGATTATTTTCGTTACTGATCACCAACTGTAGTGCAAAACTAATGAAAGATATAGAGAGAAAGAGAAAGAGAGAGAAAAAGAAATAGAAATAGAGAAAACGTTGGATAAGTTTTGCATTTAATACAAAATATGATATGCATGCTATGAATATTGAGATATAATAATAAATACATAATAATAATAATAATATTAAATCAAATAATAAATATATGCTTTCTTGAAAAAATTAATATTAACGTGTAAAAAATGTCATGAGATTGGATGAACATTTGTAGAATATAAACTGATTTTTTATTGTTTCGAATTTTTTGATATTCTAAGAATAAGATAATTTTTATACTTCTATTCAAAAAATAATTTAAGAAAACAAAAGCATTTTTGTCGTTGTATTAGTATATATATATATATATATAT